GATTGCAACGAGCTTATAGCCAGAGAATGGGTTTGAGCAGGCTAATGTGCATGCACACACACACACACACACTCATACACACACACGTAGCTGACTGTCAAAATTTGTATGCACAACAAATTTCTCATATTTAAGTACGCAGTCATAATGATGCGAAGCGGATACGCAAAATGCATAAATGCAGCAGCAGCAGCAGCAACTGCAAACTGAAGTTAAAACTGTGGATACATCAATCATACGCCACGTGGACTGCCTGGCGATGATGTTGTGTGCCACTGATGATAATGCAGCTGTCTGCCTTTCTCTCCCCTTCTCCCTCTCTCTATGTCTGTGTGCGTGTGTGCGTGTGTGCGGCTGGCTACCCTAATGCTATTAAAAATCAATCAATGGCACATAAAACAAATGAAAAATGCATCGATAGTCCGCTCGTTCGCTGGCATCGCTCTCTCTCTCTATCTCTCACCCGCTCTCTCTCTCTCTCTCTCTCTACACGCTTATCAACTTTGGTGCGTTTTATTTATTGCGCTTATCAGCTTTTAATTAAGTTAATTTTTTTTTATTATTTTTTATTTTGTACTTTAGTCATATGTAGTGTATGCATCTGGCATGCTTATATATTTAGTAAATATACTTCCTATTTACTGTGCACAGCACGTTTTTCTTATATTTCGTTTGTTTCCTTTGTACGGCGTATAATTTTCCATTTTGATGTCATTTACGAAATGAATTGGGTATATTGGTTTTGTATATCGTTTTACTGTGAATTTTTCCAAATGAATTAAATTGAAGCTAGAGATAAGACTTTCAGCACAAACAAATGTCATTTCTAGTGCTAAGATTTTACTGATAACCTTACAAAGGAAGCGGAAAATCGGGAAATATTTTTGAGCTTGAAGCATAAAGTTTTGAATATATACACAAATAATATTTGATTAAATGTAGAAAAAATAGGAGAATGCAGTTGTAAATAACTGTTAATCGGATATATCGCATTTTAATTGCACAGACTTATTTCTGAAAGCAAGTCAAATCCTCTTTCCCTTTGAGCACTTTAACCCCGAACGAGCATTATGCAGTCACTGGCAGCACTCTTACGCTCGACGTTCTTACTTTTTTTTCAGCATTGAATTTCGTTTCTTTTTTTTTTTAATATATTTTTGCTTTTTTAGTGCATGCATTTTGCGCTTCGGTTTATTTCGCTGAATGCCATTCCCAATGCAAATTGGGCATTATTTGTTCCTGAGCTACTGTGTTGAACATTTTCACGCTGCCTTGCATTTCAATGCGAGCAACAACAACAACAAACACCCACACACAAGTTGTTGTGTGGCAAAGCCAAAAAGGCAGCGGAGCTTTCAATGGCCGCGTGTAGTTTTCTACGTGACACAATTAAAAAACTAAATAGAAAAGGAAGAAATGGAATAAAAAAGTGGGATATAGAAAAACGCCTCGCATATTGTATTGAAAGCGAAATTTCATAAAGCAGCTCAGCTTGCAGACGACACGCATGGCCGCCAGGGGGCGCCACACACACGCAAGTCCTGTTAATGCTGTGCACTTAAAAAATAGTCTGCCGTTTTAACTAGTTTATGACCAAAATAAAAAAAATACGCTTCAATCCCTGCAATTAGTTTGCGAATTGCGAGCAAACAAATGCAGTAACTGAACGAAACGGGTTTAGCTTCAAAGGGGAATACTATAAAGTAAGTTTGATTAAATTAATTAGGTCTTTGCATACTCTGCTAAACATGAAAAAAAAACTATTTTTTTTTTTTTTTTTTTTTTTCATTGAAAAGATTTTGATTTGGTATCTG